CTCGTTTAGCGTGAACTGGTGTAAAACTCCGTGAGAAACGCTATATTCAAACTAAGCAGTAGCCGTGGAATATGTTTTTCACTTGTGTTTTTCATACCACTAGGGTGGTGAAACTCCATTGTGTAGGTTGGTGTAGTTCTCATGGCGGGAAATGAGTGGAGGAACATACGGGAGATCCGCAGTCTCAATGTGACCCTGCAACCGTTGGTGATCAATGTTGATCAGAAATCATTCGTTCGAATGCTGAGGTAAGTACCTGGGTTAAAGTCTTATTGTTGTGTAGCTGTTGATATCACCAATACCGCTCCATAGGCATGTCCGCAACACCCCCAATTTTCTGTGAATTAGTTTTATATTAATAGAGAGCACGCCAAATGTGTTTTACGCGTTTCTCGCGATGTGAAATATGGAATATGATTTCCACTAGTGTTTTTCATATCACTAGGGCGAAACTCCGGGAAGTTGATTTATATTTCTACATATGATATCAACTGAATGCTATTGTTGGAGCTTCACGACCCGTTTTACGTGAACTAGCGTAAAACTCGGCGAAAAACGCGATATTCGCAGTAGTTGTGAAATATGTTTTTCTACTAGTGTTTTTCATATCACTAGGGTCAAGAAACTCCATTATATCAGATTGCACTTCAATGAACGACACTTCAGAGTATAATCAATCTATGTCTACATTTGCTATTATACCAGGTTTATGATGGAGTTATACAGCCTATTCGAAATCGTGCCGGCCAGTGTGGCGCGATATGTGGCCTCGGTGCGAACTGCGGGGGAAACAGATGAGCAGACCGTCCTGGGAAGGTCCACTGCAAGGACGTCTGCTAATTCGTCTATGGTGGCATATCATAATATGTTGGGTAAGTTGAGGATGGAGTGGTATGCAGAGGACATATTGTTACAGGGGTCTGATAACAGTGAGGAAAGTGTTCCTAATGTGATGACATTCACATGGGAAGATCCAGATGTTCCTAGCAATGTGGAAAAATCCAAAATGAGCTCCTCTCCGGGAACATTGGAGTTTCACCCGTTTCACGTGAAATGGCGTAATATTCTGTGAAAAAAACGCTATGCAGTAGTCGTGAATCGTATTTTTCACTTATGTTTTTCCATATCACTAGTGTGAAACTCCATCATCGGTTTCTGAATGAATTCCTGGTGAAGTAGGTACGCCGGAATTTGATGCGAGTCAGAGAGCACCAGCTGACAGTAAAGTTTATATTCAAACTTTCACGTTGGACCCGGTGAGCTGTGGTTTCTGTTGTTGTGAATAATGGCTAGCATGGGGAAAAATATGCGCATGATTAGTCACGTGTGTTGGTGAGAATTTAAAAAAAAATCTGCAGAAACCTCGGAAAATTGTACCCGAATTCGTATGTAATTTTTTGTACTCTGGAAGATGAGAAAATTTGAAGATTGACAAGATTTTTGATTTTTTTTTCGAAAAATTGCAGTGTAATTCTCTACACTCTCCTGTATAGTGAGGAATCTCCTGGGTTGAGGTGAGGAAAGCAAACATATATTCCTCCAACTTCGATAACGACATCGTTGATTTTCATCAGGTGAGGGTCAACCTATCGCTGCATACGAAGAGTTCGCGGGGTAGGCAGGGAGGAAAGGACGACGATGTGGCCTTGGTAAGCTGATGAGGTTGATATTGGAGTTTCACCCTAGTGATATGAAAAAACGCGTTTCACGTTTACTCCGCGGAAAACATTTGTGTTGTTGGTCGCGGAAAAACATACGTCTTATAATTTACATGGAATATTACACCACTTCACGTTAACCGGGTCGTGAAACTCCAACATTATTAAATGAATTTTTCGCTACCACACTTGGCGAAATATTATCAATGATATATTGGAGTTTCACGACCCGTTTTACGTGAAGTGGCGTGAAACTCGGTGAAAAACGCGATATTCGCGGTATGTAGTAGTCGTGAAATGGTATTTTTCACTAGTGTTTCTCATATCACTAGGGTGAAACTTCATTATTACAACATATTAAATTATATACTTTTATTTATAATCATATTATTATTATATACTCTTTATTTATATCATCTCTATGTGGTATTAAATTACTTGTATATATAATGGAGTTTCTTGACCCTAGTGATATGAAAAACATTAGTGAAAAACATATTTTACGACTACTACAGGCCACGAATATCGCGTTTTTCACCGAGTTTTACGCCATTCACGTAAAGCGGGTGAAATTCCAATATATAATAATATTTACAGTAAGATATGGTTTTATAAATAAGATATTAATATGTAATTAAATCAAGAAAATTCGCCCAATGTTGCCCGTATAGGTGCGGTTGATGAACGCCGCCTTTGAGAACGTCCCGAAGGTGTCGAATTCCCCCATGAGATTTAAGGCAATCACAAACGAACACTCATTTGCTACACCAGCGGAACTCGTAAGCGAAATATTTTACGTTTAGCGTGAAATCGTCGAGATGTGTTCATTGGAGTTTCACCCTAGTGATATGAAAAACACTGGTGAAAAACATATCTCACGCGAATATCGTTCGTTTTTCACCGAGTTTTACGCCACTTCACGTAAAACGCGTGAAACTCCATTGTGTGAATTGATTTGCCTATTTTGAATTTGCAAAGAATTGTAAAATGTAGTATTATCGATTTGCACAGTCTTAGTGGTGATGTTGCTAGTAGTTGTCTCTATAGATGAATCTAGTTGTAATTCCGGCACTTTTAAAGTACCGAGCTTACAAGTGGATTTTCATTTTCGATCTTGATTGTAGCATAGTTGAATTTTCAGTCAAAAATGTGTCGAAATAAACTGGGAGGCGGTGGGATATGTACATAATCGAGTATATGTGTCGGTGACAATATGCAAATTTTCTCCACCCCAAGAAAATTAGCCTTGTAAATAGACTTTTGAGAAAAGCGAACATATTTCGGTGTTTTCTCATTGGAGTGAATATTTTGATGTAAACTGAGATTAATTTGTTTTTGTTCATTTTCAGGCATCGGACATAGCCAGCTTTTACGTGCGGGAAGGTATGATGCAATTTCTGAAAATCATCGGCTCCATCGACGTCCTCGGCAATCCTGTGACCTTCCTCAATCGGGTGAGTTCCTGGTATAATTGTTGAGTTTCACGACCCGTTTTACGCGAAGTGGCATAAAGCTCGGTGAAAAACGCGATTTTCGCACTATGCAGTAGTCGTGAAATATGTTCTATCACTAGGGTAAAACTCCATTATAGCGACTTCATCTATTTCCCGTAGACTATGCATTTTATCGCATTTTGTTCGGATGTCGTGTATAAAAGTCTCCTTACATTGTTTTCATATTGCTAGGTCGGCGATCGAATAGTAGATTTACTCAGAGATTCAACTGATGCCACCTCTCGAGGTGACTCACATTCTCTCACTACGTCTCTAGGTGGGCTTAACCACGAGGGAATGACGGGGTAATTACTTGTGTAGGTCGCGGAGTTAAATCGATTGGTGCTGGAGTGGTCGGAGGACTGTTCGACTCGTTGTCGAGAATGACCAGTGGCTTACATGCTAGTGCTGATGCTATTATAATCTACCTACAGTGGATATGGATTGGAGAGGAAGAACTGAGTGATCGACGTGGGTGTGATATGACGTGTTATGAAGACACAATTGAGGTGAATTATGGAAGTGATGGTATCGCATATTGATGTAGGAAAAATGAGAAAATTCTGATCGGTTTCTGTATACTTCTACTACCCGAATTTGTACGTGAACTTCTATAACTAGTGAGGAAACTGCTGAGCTCAGCAGCTGAGGAAATCGAACATTTATTTACCCAACACTGTCGTGTGTTGGTGTATGTTACTGTTGTTCAGTCGGTGTTGCTAGTGATAAGTTAATCGCTAGGCTGAGCATATTCCCAGCCTGGCATTTTGTATCGTTGATTTGCGATTAAGTGATGCAGTGAGAAAGTATCACAAAAATCTAAAAGTTAAGACACGCTTCTGTGGAACATTTTCTCATTTACAATATATGTTATTATTGTTTTCTTTGATATGTATTTGTTAGTGGTTTGAGGCTCTCCAGCTCCCCTAGCCGTAGACTCAGTATTACCAACTATAAGACTTTGAGAATGGTAAAGGAAAATATGATCTTAACTCTCTATCCTATCCCCAGACTATGGCTAGCTGAGCGCGGATCCACCGCGCTAAGCCTTTGTGTACTGCTGTGCCAGGGACTCTGTCCCTTGATATGTACTTGTACATTTTTCACCTTCATCTCAGGCCGCGCGTTTGGCCCAACTAGCCATCACTGGTGTTGGTGATGGTATAGTAACGGGAATTCGACTTGCAGTTATCAGGATCTATCGCGGGAGTTTACTCGCATTTTGGCATCCCTATGGGGCTAGCAGGCATGCTACAGTTGTGGCATTGATTCCGGTGAGACTCGACGTATTTCCCAGCAGTTTTGGAGGAGGAATATATGTTAGATTTTTTCAGCTTACCTGAAGAGTTTACAAAGCTATCTATATACGAAACCGAGTAGAAATGTACAGAAACCAACAGTGTTGGAGGAATATATGTTTGATTTTATCAGCTGAGCTCAGGAGTTTTCAAAGCTACTCGAAGAATTCGGGCAGGAGTGTTCAGAGAGCGATGAGAATTCCCCAAAATTTCCTCAGAATTTTGAATCGTAGTCAAATGAGTTTCACAATGTGGGGGGAAATATGCACATGGTCAACAATACGTATTGGTGATAATATGAACAAATCGGGAAATTCATGTTGATTTCTGAATATTTGTACTATAGTAAACTTGTATAATGAGTGACGAAACTCCTGAGCTAAGCTGGGAAAAGCGAGCATATTATCCTCTAGCACTGACTTGTATCAGAATACGACTATGTTCTGTTATCTCAGGGAATCATTACAGGATTGCTCACATTCGCATTATGTTTGATATCGGCAATTCTGCTCGGTGTAGCATCTATATTCCGCGGACTGCGTAACTCGGTGATTGATAAGGATACTGAGTGGGACAGGTAACGTCGGTGTTGGAGGAATATTTGTTCACTCTACTCAGCTGAGCTCGGGATTTTCCTCACTAATTATATACGAATTCAGGTAGAAGTGCACAGAAACCAAAGAGAATCTCCCGAAATTTCCTGAGAATTTCAATTTGTAGTCAACTGTGGGGGAAAATTTGCACACAGTCAACTACATGTGTTGGTGAGTCACCAAATCGTTCCGACATTTCAACGACAGGCACCAATGGTGACAACGAGAAAATTTCGAGAAAATTTCGGGGAAGCTTCGAGGAAATTTGGGGGAATCACTGGCGGTTCCTGAACACTCCTGCCCGAATTTCTATTATTGGTGAGGAAACTCCGCTCAGGAGCTTCCGCGCTAATTACATACGAATTAGGGTAGAAGCGTAGAGAAAGCAACAAGAATTGACAACTGCATATTTTCCCACTTGTATTTTTGCCATGTCACTGCTTTTGGTACTGTAGTTCTGAGCACCACCAACAAGTCCGTCCAGCGCTGCATACGACCAGTTGGAGATGCCTCAGACAGTACGACCCTGACTTGGCCGTTGTGTCTCGTGTGCTACGGCTAGCTGGACCTGAACACGAACAAGGTCACTCGCAAGGGAATGATGGACCGATCGTATATTCTATGGAGCTACAGGAAAGTGAGTTATGTCGTAGCTTTCACAACAACAAAAAGCAGTGTGGGGGGAATGTGCATATGGCCAACTGCGGGTGTTGGTGACACTATGAAAATTATGAGAAAATTTTAGGAAATTCACATTGGTTTTTGTAGACTTTTGGCCGAGTATTCATGTGTACTTGTTTAATTGGTGAGGGACCTTCTGAAGTCAGTTGAGGAAAGCGAACGTACATCCTCCAAGACTGATAACACCACGAAGATGTTCGAAGAAAGTTCTCATACGTATATGAGATGTGTAGGAACTCGCTAATGTATATGCGATCACATCATGTTGATCGATCACTACAAGTTGGGCATTTTCTTAAGTTCTACTTTTCCCCAGCGTTGGAATATATGTGGGCAGAAGAACTTTTCTCATTTACTTTGGAAGTTGATGAAGGAATAGGAGTAGAAGTGTATAGAAGCAAGCTTCCTCAGAATTTTCATATTGTCATCACCAACAAGTGTAGTGCATACTTCCCTCCTACACTGCTTTTTCCCATATATCGGTTCATACCAGTCAATTGCTCGCTGGTCCTTCTTGGAATTGTCACAAATGCAATTGCAGGAACATACAAATGCAATTTCGCGCAAGTGCAATTGCTGAATTTGCAATTGCATGCGATAAGAATTTTTCAGCGCGCACAGTGTAGACAGCTGAATTCTTAGTGGCACACAGCAAGGACAATGACACTTTCGATGACACACAGTTGGGACAGTAGCAATCATAACGGCCTACCCATCGTGCGTGATTGCACGTATGTGCATAGCTAATCTCCCATCCCCCCGAATAGATTAAGATAGAGGTCTCCCGACTCGTGTTATCTACTATGAGTCACGACCAAGCAGCAACTGCATAGTGCGAATATCGGGTTTTCACAGAGTATTTCGTCACCTTACGTGTAACGAGTGAAACTTCACTCCAATATAATATGTATAAGCTGGCTCAATGGCGTACTCCCTCAAGAGTATGCTTATGCAGATGGAATGTTCTTGCTGTTGCAGAGTCGACGGTCCGGACGTTCGTTTGCCTGACTCCTGATTCCCTCCTTAAACTTTCTACCAAACATGGCAATGAACTTGAGCGGAAGGTGAATTAAGTGAACTTTGCATGGGGGTGACTTATGTCATCTTTGCTAGATACCATTTTTAGCGATAAAATCTGTTCGAGTCTCAGTCATGAATTTGCAGGATAGCGCGGGCATGAAGTTTGTGTTGACAGTGTCGTTCAGCTCGCCGCAGTTGTTTCCTGCTAAACTTGAGACTCTATCAGACGCACCGATTCTGAATGATGTGATGATGGTGAGTTCAGTTTGTAGACGATGATTTTGTATACCAATTTGATATGCATATGTGCGTTTTCTATTCCGGGATTAATGATAGTGAACAACTTGTCGCTATCATAATCTCAAAAGGTTACCATAATTACATCACATGTTCATACCAATGTTTACATTTGTTTATACGGTATTGAGTCAGATTGGTTCTTGTTAGTTCCCGAGAACACGTTTTTTCACAGTTGCATATCCAATAGACACACTTTCGTGTTGACTAGGTCTGCATACATACTGAGTGTGAGATCTTTATCCTTCCCAGGGGACACCCGCTGGTGCAACTGATCGGCGACCCATACAGAAAGCCTTGGAAGAAGCCTCGGAATACAAGACGATTAGAGGCAGTATTGGCTCGGACGATTATGAAGAGGTAGGATTTGTGTTGTTTTTCTCATCAATTCGGTTCCTATTATCAACTGTCGTTTGTGCGCCCTATCTGCTGAATTGCTTTCTGTGCGTCTGCGTGTTGATATTGTACGCAAACCCAAATTCTGGTATGGATCTTCTACACTTTGAGTTTTCTCGAGCGAAACAACCGTCTCGAGAGATTCGGAGCTTTTCATGAACATCCTAGCGTTCGCGAACAGTGTGAGTAAATACGAACATGGTCAACAAAATTCTGGTGACAATGTGAAAATTCTGATAAAATTTCTGGGGGTCCTTATTGGTTCCTGAACACTTCCACCGGAATTCGTACGTAAACTTGTAGAATTGGCGAGGGAAACCTGAGCTCACTCGAGGAAAGCCAACATATATTCCCCTGCTTGTGAAAGACAATATCGTATGAATTTCCCCTGGTCGTTTCTAGGGGCACTCAGAGCCCCTTGGGTTAGTGTAGTGTGTAAGTTGAAGTTATTCAGGTATTACCAGTTCTCAAAGAAGAGTTTGCCGTTCTCGGTGAAGGCCCGCTATCTGGGAGCGACGAGAGTGATGCGGTATGCACATGAGAATCTTCTATCTTATCCGATTCGTGGCTTTATGTGTTAAAATTCTCGCAGTGGGCTGTGAAATTCTCTACAATGTTTTGTGAACGGTGTGGCATGGAAAGTGTGAGGAAACTTTTTAGTTGCATTCTTTGTGAACTAATTAGTGAGGAAATTTCCCAATCCATGTACTGAGATTGAGTACAGGAATAATATTGCTGCTGAATCGGCGTATTCATGCTCAGATTCGTCTGCGCTTCCAGAACTGGGCCGAGGTCTCTTCTTTGTTTGACGAGTTAGCTCAAGCACTGAAGAAACACCATGCGGCGCGGCGGCTTGCCATAATCTAGATCAACCGTCATGAGAGATTACTGCTTGTGTATTCAGCGCGATGCTGATGTCATGTTACTGCCGAGCATGAGAATTCACCATTTCGGTACACTCAGATTTCAGGCATATCAATGCTATTTCCTCCACTGTTTTTGGGTTTGAGAACTCTGTTAAAGGGGAAGCTATTTTGGTGTAGTTACGTCAGTTGAGCTCCCAAGATACATATCGTTTGAAAGAGCGTAGTTCGTGTATTCTGCAAAAAAGGTTTAAATGGTCTTGTACTCGCTACAACTGTTGTGCGCTGTGATTTTCAAACAGTCACGTGCCGGACTGGTCCTTCGTCATGGATCGTGATCTGGTTGAGAAGCTCCTGCTCATCACAGTCAGCCCCTAGAAAGCCTGGGTTGCAGCCTACCAAGCGGAGGAGCGAGATCCAAAGGGAGTGATTCGTCTTACTCGGGCTCGTACCCGAGCTCAGAGTGCTCAAGCCCCATATCGGTGAGATAAAGAGCCACTAAATGTTATTGTATTATTGATCCGACTCAGAATCTCGAGGAGGAGGTCATTGTCGATAAGAGCCAATCAAAATAGGCACGCATTATGCGTGCAGTCGGAACTTGTAGTTATATGATGCTCATGCATGATGATGGCGATTTTTTTCTGGACTCAGCGGGAGTTCGAGGTAGTCGGTGCATTGTGATCTTCGCGTTGAATTGATCTCAGCAATAACGTAATCACGTTTGGCAAAATCTGAAACCCGCGAGCTAGGGACAGCGATCGCACAGCATTAAAAACTATAAATTATAGTTTTTACTCCAGATTCGAGGCTTTAATTCGGATGTTGAGAGAGCAATGTTCCCGGAATATCAATGGCAGGTTCAAATTTCTGGAACCCCAAAACCCGAACATGTAACGCTGCTTGTTAGGTAGCCGAGTGTCCTATTGACATGCGCGATCATGTGTCTGCCAAGCGCTAGCGATCTCAATTCCGACCTGGTGTTGTTGACTTCGGAGCGCACCCTGGTGCTGCTGCAGCACCGGCTGCATTCGCCGCAATACAAAACTATGGTCCTGACCTACTATTTCATCATGATATGGTGAGTCTGATGCCAGATGTTGATTCCGCGAATAGATTGGCCGTCTGCTATAAGTTCAGCGAACATTGTGCAGTGCACAATGTGCACTCCCAAAACGTCCCATGGGCGTGTATGAAATGGATGCCATCTCTTATATGCCTACTTACCCGGTAAGTCCCTTGTCACAGTAAGTCTTACCGTGACAAGGGAGTTGTTGTTGTTGATCTAGCGGTAGGACCGGGACTTGATAAATGAGGCTGGTACTCTAGATGCAGCCTTCAATGTTGTTCGCAAGAGTGTTCGCCCGGCTATCGAGAGGAAGTGCCGTCAATTGAGAAGTTCTACAATTTGTAAAAGAAATCTGCGGCTTGAACCAGTGGAGAAGTGCGCAAAGTTGCGCCTGCGTGCTTTTGTCTGCATAACTTCCGAACAATGATGGGAGAGGAAGACGACAACGCGAATGACGAACATGAATTCGGGGAGATAGAAGCCAATGATGTGGAGCCGGGCTTCGAGGAAATAGCGGCTCGTGGCCCTGTACGTGGCTTTGCATTTTGACGGAGCGGACGAGTAGGATGTAGCACTGTACATTGTGTTACTGATTTAACACAGGATGAATATGTAACACTTTATTTTTTCGGATTTATTCCCGACGCTTAGTTCAATAGGCGGACACTCAGTGTTCGCCACTGTTCGCCGAACAGCGTGTGATATAATCCGTAAGTCAGTAGTTAGAACGTGACACACGCCACAGTGTATCGGGCACGCGTAAACTACTCAATCAGCTCACTGTCTCAAGCTCAGGGTTGTGCCGCCGCGGAACACCGTCGGTACCAGAACTGGCTGTGAAACGGGTTTGAGTCAGTCGGTGAGTCGGGATGTGACTCATACTCAGGGTTAGATGGGTGAGTTAACTCTGATTCGCGAGTCAGATGCTGATTCACATCTGGCTTGAACGATTTCGTAGGCTGTATACTAAACCGTTCAAGCCACATGTGAAATTGTATACTGTATACATGCATCACTGAATCATTCAGTCTGACTGCGTTACTAACATTCAGAGGAATCCAAATTACAGGGACGGCTTCTTTCTTCACTCTTCCAATCGACCCGAGTAACTCGAGTATAACAATAAACTCGTAACCAAAGCTTCCAAGCAACATATGCCTCTATCAGAAATCGGCCTTGAAATAAGTAACGTTCTTGGGGAACGTCTCGTTCTTTCATCGACAAAGAATAATTTTCCTACGCTCGCTCTGAACGAGTCTCATCATCACAGTTATGTGATCTATGTTATGAGAAAGAACAGATCAGCTGGATACAACTGTACTGAAGTACAAAAAAAGCTTTGGACATCGATGTCGAGATAGACGTTGGACATCGATGTCGAGATAGACGTTGATCATCCTTGCCAGAGTTGACCAGAGAGGAAGGAATTGAATGCCTGCTGCATTCCTTCTGGCGCGTCTAAGATCATATCATGTCCCGAGTTGATCACCTGAAATTATAAATTCAGCCTTCAAGCGAGAAACGGCCCTGAGTGCGTCCTGCTCAATCGTCCGAATAAATTGAATTCGACATACATTAATAACTGCAAGGTGTGCTCCGTTAGCGAACGAGTAGCGATAGTACTTTCCAAAGACGCCAACTCGAGGAAACTGAAAGATGACAAGCCTCAAAGCGAATAACGAACATTGAGCCTGAGATAGCTCACCTGCAGAGTCCGACGGAGAGACGAGGAGAGCTTCGAACCGTAATTGATTTGGCCATTCAAAGAGAAGACCCATTTCTCTGTACCACCGTAGTTAGTCACGAAGTCCTCAGCGCCATTGAGGATGAATACCTGGTTCACACTGTGGAATGTACGACTTATTATAAGTCTTATCCTATTATCAGTGATAGAGGCCACTTATATCATGAATCACAGAGACCTCACCTTCATTCCTTGATCTAGTAGTTCATTTACGAAGTATGTTGTATCGTAAGCCGCGTAGGGTCGGAAATCACTGAATACCTGAATATCGTAGAATCATAACAATCCCCGCACTCAATGCGGGATGCGACAACAGACATGATCATTCTGCATCTGAAAGCTCTTTGCAACTCCCAGCTCATCCTGAACATTCTTTCTGTTCAGAAGCTTCTCCACCTGAAGACAAAAACATAAATTTCAAGCTCTCCTGGGGCGAACGAGAAGTGAGAGTCCGAGTAGAATGCAGGTCGATCCTCCCCTATGTGGGCATCAGAAATCTGAAGTGATGGCGGCGGGTTTACATTTCCAGGATTGAACTTGTAGAACCGTGATTCACGGCCGTCTTCGGTGCGCACATCGTATCTAAAGCGAGAGATTCTCGTCGAGAGTAAAATAGTACGCCAAGACATGCTGGCGGGAAACAGCTAGACCCTAGGTGATGATACCACCGTGGTATTATAGAATTCCTCAGTCGAGTCGGCAACATCGACGATCCTCACATGCTTCTTGGAGTCTTTCTCAATTGAGTTACAGTAGCAGAATCACACAACTTCACGGCATTCAGACACTTATCTGAGGAACTATGGTCAACAGAAACAGCACATCCCGAGCCACCCACCTTTTGCTGCAGGCTTCCCAGGACCGTTGGAGTTGCACTCGGCGAGTGCCGCTCGACAGATGTTCATACCCGCTCGCATTATATTCAATCTAGGAATGCACGATGAGCAAATGAAGGAGGCAGAGGGACTCACATATCCTGAGGCACCAGCTTGCGCTGAGATGCCATATCCATGCATCCTTGGTAGCTAAGAAGGGGAATATATTCTATTGGCAGGGAGCGCCTTACACAGCAGATGGGCCGATTGCACCAGAAAAAGCCATAACACCCCTGAAATTCGCCTTCAGCTCCTGGTTCTTGGTAATTTGTGCACCCAACATGACGACAAGGGAGGCTACGAGAGCGGGCATAGGCGCTCAGAATGCTAGTCAAGACAATACCAGATGCTGACACTCCGACGAGGTGGTAATCTCTTTTGAAGTTCTCATTGATCTTGAAGAACTCGGTCAAGAATATCATCCTGCATGCAGAAGAGGAAAATGGTCGGAGGAATACTGTCGTAAGAGCAACTCACAAGTTGGCTACAGACTTCTCCAAGCTGGGCTCGACAAGTCCCAGGCTGAATCCAGTTGGCCCTGGAGCATCGACCCAAATACCGTTAGCATGCTGAGTCCACGAGTAACTGAACAACAGCCCATATGTACACGATATGTATGGCCACAATATGTGTGTTGTTTCGCCTAACGGGTTTGGCAGCTGTTGAGTCCCAGCTGGATCCGCATGGCATGGTCCATTGAGCCCCATGGCGATACCGATACTGCTATCACCAAGGCCACCGCCGATAAATATGAAAGTAGGGGCCTTGCTAGGTTCCGCATCGGCTTCAATAGCCACGTAGAAGTATCTGCAATAGTTGTCTTTGAAAATGGCGTAGACAAGCGGCACCAACCTGTTCGATCCACCCACATGCACATATCCAGAGTGCTGCTTTCCGACACTTGAATGGCACAAGGGGCCCGACCGAACCGTGACTGAACCTGAGATGACACACCTGAGAAATTCGTGAAGAAAACGGCTCCCATGAAACCATCTCTCTGTCCAGCGATGGCTCAGGTAAGCATTTCATGGACGACATTGGAAATCACAACTCGTGAGCAATCGTACGAGAATCTTACCATTGCCTTGAGCATGGTCTCTACTATTCGTCGCTTGAATCACCATACCCAGAGTCACAGCAGCAAATATGAGCATTTGTAGGGCGGTCATGTTATTCAATAGGGACTTTCGAACAAATAATCTCCGCTTGGCAGAGCTATCGACGCGACTTATACCATAACACGCCAGAGCGGTTCTCTATAAATTGATGAAAGGTAAAGGTTTCATGAGCAGATAACAATTGGCTGGTGACATTGCCACTGATGCGGGTATGGGAAGAGTTCCTCGTATGTGGACTATGGTCATGGAAAAATATACTCACAACTACCAGGAGAAAACGAGATGGGAAGACTGAAGCTGGCAGCTTCAAGCTGCGCTACGTTTGCCCCCAGAGAGAATGGCAACACCTGACTAGCTACCCCAATCGTGGAACACCAACGCGAGATCCAGACCTTGTGCGTTATACGGCCTGTGTATCATACGAGTGTGTGCGCCCGGCCGAGGATTTGTGTTCCACATTGGAACGCGGAAACACGAAGAAATCCAGAACGCGTTAAGATCCTTCATCACGTGTGGAGCTCCTCGCGATGCACGCGTCATGTGACTTCCATCTGGAGCGTTTTACGTGTTACAGCGATCCGCCTGGGCGATTCAAAGTTGACGTCGAACAAGGTAGGAGTTACAGACTTTGAAGTTGGCTGATATTTGTTCGATTCGAAACGGTAAAATGGCCAGACACCAGGATGTGCTCTCTGAGAGCAGCTCTCAGGGCACTGCTCTATGTGCTGTCACTGCACCATATGATCTCCATTTGCGGGCGAATGGACCCTACTGTCTACAGTAGACAGTCTACTGGGTCACTATTGCTTTTCCACTAGTACAAGAGGAAATCATGAATACTCGTACTCGGGAACCAAATGCGAATGAGAAGATCAAGCGATTGATTGTTCATGCCTCACAAAACACAGGTCGGTGGCGTCCACCCTTTCTGCAAATACCCTCAATGAGGGTCCCTCATCGACCCCGTATTGGTGTCTGATGGGGAGCAATACGCGTAAGGTCCGTCAGAGGTCGCGGCGACCTGGTCACCGAACCTTCTCTTCCGCCGTGGAGCGACTCTGCCCTCCTCGAGACCTTTTCCAGTCGTATCTTCCATGAGACGGAGCTCTTGAAGGAGGGCCTTTCTCTGAGTGGAAGACTACGACTGCTCGTGTTAGAACGAGTGTCTCATATATGCAAAGTGTGCGAGCAAAGAGCAAGAGATATTTGCTTGATTGTTCGGATCACTACTCCTCTCTGAGAGGACCTCTCATCGACCATGTTAAATCATCCGATTATCATCGACTATATCGGTACATTATCGGCATGGAGCTGCAATCTATACCGCTAAGCTTCGCGAGTGTCTCTGCGTCCACGTATCCCTGCATGCGTGAATCCGAAATCCGAGAACCACGCGAAGTGGCAATCACGGTCTGGATCCTTGCCCTCTCACGAATGGAATCGTAATTCGAATTCTCTCATGAGCTAGGATGCAATGCTGTCTACCGCAAGGTTGACAACCCTGGCTTGTCGAGAGTGGAGATTCAGAAGATTCCCGTTTGCGGAAATTTCCGAGATTTCAGGACATGAAATGCAATCCATGGAGACTTCACATAAGGAAATTTCTAATAAACGGATAAGCCTAACTCTAGTATCTCGAAAGTTTACAAAACAGTCACTCGGGTGGATACATTGCGAGACATAACGAATTGAGTAACGCATACGCGACCAGGACCGACCGGAAGAAAGATCAATTGAATCCGTTTAAGCTCGGCCCCCTTTGCGCGGTTCTCGGTGATGGCGATTTTGTGGAGTTCCACTGCTCTCCTATCGGCAGGATGAACCGTGCTGTCGAATCGACAGTGTCGATGTTCACTAGAAGTAGCTGAGTTTGCTGGTTATGGCCAGCCTAGAGAGTTCTCCCTTGACAGGAAAAAGTCGTGGTTATCTCAGCCGGCACGCGTGCCCTTTTCATAGCACGTCTGGTCCGTTTGATGCGTGCCCGGCGCTCGAGTGCTTGTTCGAATCTCTGACGATTTTTGGTTATGGAGTAAAAAAGACAACTATGTGGTAATTAGTGACTGCTCGGTTAGGTTTGGACCACGGAGAGTCAAGGGATAGTCTAGCGTGAGGATGTGAGTTGCTTTTTTGCAGCCGAGACTGACAGGCGATCGTCCGCACCATCCGCTAAACTGTAACTCGAGCCCCTGGGAATTCATGAAACTCACTACCAGTCCTATTCAGAGCTAGGCTTGCACTCTACACCTTTTCCCGTGCAAGTTTGACAAGTGAGCAGACAAGAATGACAATGTTACCATCAAGAGTGACAATGAGAATCCAAGTTTGTCACAATTCAATTCTGTTACAATCAAGATTGACTTTGAGAATTCAAGTATGTCACAATCGAGATATGTTACAATCAAGATTGACAATGAAAATCCAAGTTTCTCAAAGTTCAATTATGTTACAATCAAGATTGACAGTGAGAATTCATGTTTGACACCGGCAGAATATATCACAATCAAGAATGACAATAGACCATACAAGTTTGACAATACGCACACAAGTTTGACAATACGCATCCAAGTTTGACACTTCAACTCGACATGTTGGCATACGGTTCAAACTGATAATTGAACTTTGACAAACTTGGATTTTCATTGTCAATCTTGGTTGTTACAAAATAGAAAAGTGACAAATTTGGATTCTCATTGTCAATCTTGATTGCAACAAATTTAGATTGTGACACACTTGGATTCTCATTGTCACTCTTGATGGTAACATTGTCATTCTTGTCTGCTCACTTGTCAAACTTGCACGGGAAATGGTGTAGTGTGCGTTTTTGATGAGGGAAGTCTCATCTATCGCAGATCACCTGAAGGAGACGAACATAGTGCCGCCCACCACCAGCTTTCTGCCAGCTTACTTCTTGGATGACATGCTTTTGGGTTGTCGGCGTCGACCGCACGTGCCGGGGAATACAGAGCGATGCGGCCGATCTCGCACTGATACGACAGAAATGTCAGGATGTTACTCGCGGCATGCTCGTCGACCAAACGTACGCCTGCGACATATCCACCAAACTGCGCTGTCCAAGCCCCCATAATGTCTCGACATTATGTCGAGAACGAGGCCATTGTGGCCCGAGCGGGAATCCTCGGGTTCTTCGTATACCTCGACAACCAGCCTTGTGGTAGTAGTTCTCAACCTTTTCCTTGCATTTGGGTTAGAGACTCTAACTTAGAGTTAGAGACGTTGAGAAGTTTGAAGTCCACATACGCCCTGCTAGACTTCGAGAGTAGCTTCATGGCCTTCTCGTCCGGTCCTATATTAGGTGGAACCATACCGAGTTTCTCGGTTAGGTTCTTGACAAGCTTGTCGATGTTGACTTGAGGGCCGGACGATGACGAAGTCGCAGCATCTACTTCTCTCTGGCCACGTTCCAAAAGCCTTCTGGCTTCAGCTGAAGCCGCCTTAGCACAGGCGATGATCATCACAAGCTGAGCCTGGGTCACGCTCGTGCCGTTGTTGTCAGTGAGTTGCCGCTGTGAGGCAGTTGCTGTAGGACTTTGAGTGACATCGGTCCCGGGATCCGTGGAAGATGCTGCAGTACCAGGGTTCGATGGCGACGGGGGGTCGCTAGCGCCGACTTTCTGGGTCTCCTGGTGATGGGCCGAAAGCAGTTTCTCCCAACCATTCTCGCTCATGGAAGCCAAAACTCCAAACGGGCAATACCACTCTCCTATATGGCTGAGCATATAAAGTCTGTCTCGAAGGTCAGTGTTTCCAAACCTTTCAAGACCTTCTGAGTCGCCGATGGGATACTACCGTCTTCGAGTGACATAAGACACAAGTCCACAAATGAATGAACGGTCCTGTGCGACAGGGATAGGTATGCTGCGAAACTAGAACCGTATCTATTCGAGGTTTACCTCCCGACAGGAAGGACTTGAGTTGTACAACTGACACATTTGTACTGAGGGTTATAACGCAACAGGTGACACTCTCCCGCACGTGGGACTGAATGCTCCCGCTCATTGGCGATGAGCTGTTAAAAAGAAATGGGTCACTCTGAGTGACTCACTCAGGATGGCTTTGGTGAACAGCGCCCTCTTGCACGGTACAAGTTGGCTCAGCCGCCATCCAAAGCTGAGTTGTCGATGGTCCCCATCAACGACCATTGTATGGATAAATTGTCACAATTTCGAACCCCCATCTTTTGCAAAATCGTTCTTCGCTGGCCTACGATAACCCACTGTTGCCAGTTACTGCCAGTCAACACAAAGCCGAATTAAGGAGCAGATCCTCTCATTTCGCGTATTTCCAGTGTTTGTTCGTCCTTTGTTCAAATGATTTCTCTTCGACCAGTTGAGCTCTCGACATACCACATACCCTTTGGAAGTGTGTAGATCGTATACTCTGCGATAAATATGAATCTAACCTCAAGAGAAAGATGACTCTGATTCTCGTTCCCATAGGCTTATATATCATCTTCATCTCCATAGATTTATATATTAATCTATAAGTGCTTGATTCACGTTACTCTTCAAGCACCAAGGATCAACTCCGTGTACTCAACTCGTCATAGGTGAACAAACATTGCACAAAGCTCAACGGTCAATTTTGCATTTATCCTTTTCTAACACCCAGGATGAAGCCAGCCATGAAGCTTCCCGCAGCAATCCCTGTGTTTTCCGTGAGATAGTTAACCGCCCGTACCACTGCCTGAGACAAACGCGCCCACAAAACTTTCGAACAGTGAATAGAGCAAGAAGTTTGTAACACAACACGACGCTTCCGACGCACAATGTCCTCATGAATTACTGCTACAACTCCCCTGTTGCCTTTCTTCAAGGAATACCAAATCATAGTTTTCCTATTGTTCGAGAGGAAGTCAGAAGGCAAAAGCACGAATGTGGCAAATTAATTGTAACAAAACGAAGGCAACCAGAAATGAAAATGATTGAGCTCCCCCCACAGACTCCTCACCTCCCGTGCGTCCATTTCAGTAACTTCGCCGTCACCATCCATATCGAGACCCCTCATCACGTCACGCTGTACCTGATAGAGTTACCAATAGAAGTTTAATTCCTACTAGGAATTTCCTAGTGCAATCCTGCAATCTCAAAATTTACGAGCCGGACTCGGGTATGCCCCACCTACAGCATCCCAATTGACGTTCACATACCCTGCCTGAGCAGCTGCCTGGAATGTTACAAAAACCACACCAAAGGTCACCGCTGCCGCCTTGCCGACCTGAAAATATCACAATGCATGTAGAGTCTACATGCATACATTGTAGACTGGCCACGTCCTGAGTGCCATTATCGATAAGCACCCGAGCGGTGCGCGAACGAGACCACAATCCGTGGTATACAGAAATATGAACATTCCAAAAGACTATCGTTCATAGTCATGCTAAACCCGTCAATATTAGGGACTAAATTAAGACTCTCGAAGAAATAATATTGATACCACTTCTCTAAATCTGATCACTACCGCGAGGGAAATGCAGTGTGAGAAACTGATCGGGTACTTTCCAGTATGTCATCAGGTTTTCAGTAGGACATACTACTAGCACACTTCTCATTGATCTTGGTGGAAGTATACCGCTTGAATTTGGAAAATTAAGCCCGATCCAAAATGAAAGAATCGTGTGTGACTCTCTTCTGTACAAATTCAACAAATGAGGTAATCATGACACATTTTAACTCCAACAGAGCTAGCGATATCTCACACGACCGTCCTGTGTATTTATCGCTACTGCGAGAAGAACCGGATACCGTTATATCGATGTCTTTACTGTCGACTCGGCCGTCGTAATCACTAAGGCAACCTTAATAAGGCTCCATCTAGTGATATTGAGTCATGAATACTGCTTGTATCATCAGCGTACCACACATCATGAAACATCGTACCCTACTTCGAATTCGTCACTGAAGGATCGTCGACCATAATAGTGCTTCACCGCTGCAGACAATTGTTGTGGTCAATGGACTCTCGTCTATATAGGGTGTGTTATTGCTCTCCAAATATCGTGACGATCATTCACACCATCAATTCATGATTGTCCTGTATCATCAGGGATCAACCAGATTCATACCTGGCCTATCTCTCCCTCAAGGTTTTTGTTCCAAGCAGACTCCTGATTTATCGGGTACCACTTGATTCCCCAGTGTGACTCCCAGATCGCCAACTACTGTGAAGCTGTGGGTACCGTCTTGGACTCGTGAATCAGGTTGTAAATGCAGTATTGTGACGAAGCCAAATCCTCTCTTCGAGGTTCTCAGTTTCTACGCTTGTATTAGCCAGCGTAGATCAAGGTGGAGAGGAACTGCATAGAATCTCGGTGTGCTTGCCGTTGAAGTTTGTGCAAGGTTAACTTCGCTACTCGCATTTGACAACAGCGATAATTCAAGTGGATGGCACCGTGCTTATTAGACTGTATGACAGCATGTTATCAACAGTAGAATTCAACTGCTGTCGGGCTCCGGTCACCCGAGGCGACTCACTATAAGATCGGCGAACCGGAAGGTTCACAGCTTGATATATTTATTGATTTATGGCTGAAGACTCATAGAATATCAAATCAATCAACCTGGAGGATAGTTTTTCTCAGGTCTTGTAAACCAAGGAGCTCGACATCCTTATGGGCATCGACCCTATGCCCAGTAGTGTCATTGACAGTTCTCAATAACACTGACTTGGAACAGATTACGGAATTTTACGAATACCGAGGACGTGCCAGTGAGTTTAAGGGACTATTCTTACCTTTTTCAAGAAAAAGCCACTACAGAATCCCGAGATCATACCGAAGCTCAGGGGTTCAGCCACTTCGCCGAGATTCGTTTCGGACATCACCTGAATCAAATCAAATCTTCCGCGTGTGGAATGAAGCTTCACTATCGGTGATAGTAGGCCGAGCGAGAGTCACAGGAAATAAAGAATTTTCCGAGTAATTCGTAAAATTTCAATTCAGAGAAATGGACAGAAGCGACAGCCAAATCCCGATCTTGCATTCGAACACTGCTGCTGGCACCTGCGATAGGTTTCGCTGCTCTCTTTTTGGGGGGTCAATCAGTCTCTGTCCGACCATCTTCTCTTCAGCCCAACAGCGATTCACCCGCAAGGTATCTCTAGCCATGCCTCCCGCAATCAGAGAAGCTCCGGCGACGCCGACGAAACGTCGAAGAGTATTTGCCCGGAAGAAACAACAACGAGCAAGTCCGCTCATAAATCCTGTGGAAACCATCCAATTACGAGACTCGGCAACCCGAGGCTGTCAGAACCGAGAAAAAATGACAAATGCTCGACGGGGTAACACAACTGAACCGGAACATAACCTCTGAGTGGTGGAGGAATATATGTTCGCTTTCCTCAGCCGAGCATAGGAGTTTCCTCACTAACTAAAGAGGAAGTTCATACACGAATTCAGGTAGAAATATGCAGAAACCGATGAAAATATCCCAAAATTTCCTCAGAATTTTCGTCTTCTTATCAACACAGGCAGTTGACCATGTGAGAACTGTTGAACCCCAAATCCAACCATAAAAAGAAACATGGTATCAGCCCATCATATCAACCATCAGATCCCCTCTAGTTCTGAGAACCCAGCTATCGTCATCTCCACGCTGTTGTGAAGCGAGACGTTTCCGCTTGATCGAACAGAACGCCTCCAGATCGTCCATAGCCAAGGCCTCTACAGAAACAACCACACATCGGAGTTTCACAAATCACTTCCCGGAGAACAACTGTATTATCGGTCGCGGAAACATACACGTTTTGCATTTGCATGGAATATTACGCCACTTCACGTTAAACGGTTGAAACTCCATTGAAAATATAAGTTTCAAACAATATGATCAGAAGATACCACCGCCGTAATTCACCCTACGAAATGTCGAGCGCAAGCTCGAATCCCGGTATAGTCATTTTACGCTTGATAAGCCTAACAACTCAACAGTGTTGGAAAATATGCATATCTTCAATTACATTTCTTGATGACAATATAAGCATTCTGGGGAAATTCTGCGAGATTCTTTTTATTCATACGAATTCAGGTAGAAGTGTACGGAAACCAACAAGAATTTCTTCAGAAATTCCGTATTGTGACCAACACACTTAGTTGACTACATGCATTTTTCCTACCCTGAAACTCACCCTCGCAATCTAACATCCCATGCACTTTACACGGCCAATGAACACTACTCTCAGCTCTGAACAATATAGGCACCGAAATACGATCCTCTCCTGTTGATCCCGGCGTTGCTCGGTGAACCTACAACTACCCCATTATACACAAATGTTCAATACTAGCGATGATGCTCAGCGGAAATCCTGTGAATGCATCTCTATCTTCTGAGGAACTATAATGACGTCAGAAAACGATGCTATCTCGTCTGCCCCTCATTATTATGAATAATGATGGTATTGTGAAGTATGGATAGTAATAGTCACTTTGTAGTATTATTATGAACATAATAATAACAGTATGATGCATAGACGAGAAAAGTTATGATAATGAACTGTGCACCTACAACTACCCAACTACACGCAAACACTCGATAATCCCACTGAAGCCTAGCGACGGTACAGCGTGAATCCACTTAAGAGCATGCACTAAGATCTGAGTAATGATGGATATGATGATACTATTACAATATATGTACGTTTTCTCCGTACATATACCACGGTTCGGCCGCCCATTCCGGAGCTGCTGAGCTCTTTTTTCCATACTCCTATACTAGGGAAAAAAGAGAGCTGCCACGATTGAAATTACAATGGAGTTTCACCCGTGATGTGATAAACACCAGTGTAAAAAACAATTTCATGACCACTGCATAGCGCAAACATCGCGTTTTTCACCGAGTTTAACGCCACTTCACGTAAAACGGGTGAAATTTCAATAATTTCATGTATCCTCTGCAGTGACACCTGCACCCACATACCGTCGCCGGGATTTTATCATCAGAAATGATACTCATAAAGTCGCCGGGGAATACCACAACCGACACGCCGTCCGAAACGAGTTCATCAACAGCTCGCCATCCATCTTCTGGACACAAGATCTCGAGTGAAGATCCTCCACCTCCAGTGCATGCTATAACCTGCGGAATTTCAAGACTCGTATCTATAATCTGCGGAACAGGACCATTTTTCTCCGTTGTGGGCTATCGAAATCGAGTACACTGGAGTTCCACCCGTTTTACGTGAAGTGTCGTAATACTCGGTGAAAAACGCGATATTCGCGGTGATATGCAGTAGTCGTGAAATAAATTTTTTCACTGATGTTTTTATTCATATCACTAGGGTGAAACTCCACTGTATAAAGGTTAGTTCAACGTCTATGACTGTTAAGACGTTTCAAACAGTGTCAGCAACATTTAGATGAGGTGCTCACCATAAGCACCTATACGGAATGTGATTCTGTTTTGATTTAAAATCATACGTACATGACATATTATATAACTAATAATATCAAAAATTATATAGTATATATAAATGAAGTTCCACCCGTCATATGAAAAAACACCAGTGAAAAACATATTTCACGACTACTGCATACCGCGAATTTCGGGTTTTTTCACCGACTATCACGCCACTTCACGAAAAACGGGTGAAACTCTACTATACACCCCTCCACATATACCGCATATAATACGGTTGCAGGTTTTCTGGCTTGGTAGACTCTGGTCGCCGATTCAATTTGAATGCTAATTTTACTAGCACTTTACTTTTTTCATGCTAATTGTTTCTTCAGTTACGGTGATGTGAATCTGTTCGAGCTATCCCAGGTGGATTTGTATTCCGTACCCTCCTTCGTATGCGCTTGAGGAAAATTCAGCACTTCATACCGCAATTTTCCATGAAAACGGAATGTGACCATCTCCCCTACCGTAAAGAAACTAGCATCGGTATGGGGGCCAAAACCCCCATCGCGATAGTGACAGAATCGTATCGTTGAATTCGACACGCCATCTTTCCGCCCTTCCATTGGCAGCAAATCAACACATTGCTCGAGGGCCGTAGCACCTATCCCATAATTTTGCTAATTTCATCAAAATCGAAACAAAAGCGCACGCCCACTATTGTTTCCGGTCAAGTATCTCTCGATGGAGCGACATAGCGTCTTCGTGATTCCACTAGCGATCGCCACGTAGGCCAGCACAGGAACTCTCAACCGGGTAGAGTCAAACCCTAGCGGAATAAGTCTACTGCCACCTCGCGCATGAGCGAGATGGATATCTACGAACTCCGCAGAACCTCGATGAGAATACCTGAGAAAGTCAAGTTTGTAATCGTTACTATCACCGTCGTCGAATATGTATTGGTGACAATATAAAATTTTCGAGGAGGTTTTCATTGATTTTTTTACACTTCTATTCGAGTTCTATAATCAATGAGGAAACTCCCGAACTCAGTTGAGGAAAACGAACATATATTCCTCCAGCCTCTTCTCGAAACGATGCTATCTACATTCAAAAGAAGACTTCATCATGTCAAGCCTCCCAGTGAAGCCCGACCCCCGACGCGCGTAGTATGGGAGTATCATCATTTGTGATTTCACCTAAAGTTCTATAAATTATTTTCTCTTCCCTACAGACTTATTACATAATATAAGATATTAATACATGATATTCCTTTATCTCCATTTTTATAATAATAATAATAATGTTAATAGTTCATTGGAGTTCCACCCGTTTTACGTGAAGTGGCATAAAACTCTGTGAAAAACGCGATGTTCGCTGTATGCAGTAGTCGTGAAATATGTTTTTCACTAGTGTTTTTCATATCACTAGGGTCAAGAAACTCCAATATTAATAGATGTCCTCTGAGTATATATAAATAACGACATATGGTATATTAATAAAGTTTCACGACCCGTTTTACGTGAAGTGGCGTAAAACTCGGTGAAAAACGCGATATTTGCGGTGATATGCAATAGTCGTAAAATATGTTTTTCACTATTTTTTTCATATCACTAGGGTCAAGAAACTCCAATATAACGCCACTCCGCGTAACACGGGTGAAACTCCATTGTTTGAATTGATTAGGGGATCAAATTTTTGAAAACGGACTTTTTAGATTTCGCGTAATGTCCCAAAAATTGCATCCCAACTCGGCAGAATATCACCCAACAGGTCGCCCTTTGAGCTTCTTCATATTCTCCCCTCCCGCGATTCGTTGCTTTTCCTCTTCATTTAATGCGAAATACTCTGCGACCCCGTCGAGTATTCTATGCTGAACTCGGTGATGGTTGTGGCGAACCACGAGTAAACCGCGTAACTGAAGTAGTGTTAAGGGAACATATGTTTGCTGGCCTCAGCAGCTGAGCTCGGGAGTTTCCAAAGCTAACTAGAGAAACGAATACGGATTCCCTCGGAATTTACGAATTGTCACCGACCAATGTCGTTGACCATGTGCATACTTTAACAATAATGGAGTTTCACCCTAGTGATATGAAAAACACTAGTGAAAAACATATTTCACGACTACTGCATACTGCCAATATCGCGTTTTACGCCACTTCACGTAAAACAGGTGAAACTCCAATGGATAACAATCACTGAATAATTTCTCTCGTATCATTTTCTTTCTATTTTTCATTTATTCAGAATCGATTTTGTGATAAACAATTTTCCCAGGAAAATCGATCTCCGTAGAAAACGGATATCGCCAATATGTCGTTTCGTCCTCGACTGCTGTCACTGTATAATATTAGATATTCTTCCAATGCACAATACTCGCAAATGCAAACGCCCATATGCAACCCGGGGAATGAAAATTCATATATTTCCCTCCGAAATCAGTACTCAATTCGAGTAGTGTTACTCGAATTCTCTAGATTTGGGTTGACCAGCACCTACTTTCAATTCATCGACAACACCCTTGTCGATATCCCCATCCGGTGATGCATCCATTGATATTTCTTCCGCCACATGGTCATATAAAAAAGTTCGCTTTTCGCTCATTGGAGTTTCACCCTAGTGATATGAAAAACACTAATGAAAAACACATTTCATATATCACATGGCGAAAAAGGCGTAAAACACATATGGTGTTTCCACTCACGTTCCGCGAGTGGGATGTTGCTAGTCGTTGTCTTACTCCTCAGGTGTTTGTGTTAGAGCCTCTAAGTAGCGCAACTAGGGTGAAAGATTTGAGAGAAATTTTCAGGAGTCCCTCGCTTTCCTCCCGACCGCTACTATTGAGTTAACCGCGTTGACCCCCATGACATTACATTTTCAGGGACGAGTTCGACAAAGTAGGACTAGTTACAGTTGACCAACTTAATAGTCGCAGCTTATTCTTGCTATCTTAGTATAAATGTGTACGTAAGCACATAGCGAACATAAGGCCAACATTGACGTTTTGTATACTGCTGCATCTCAACCTACTCTGCATTGAGTTCTACAACTTATGCATTGGCAACTTGATCAACAATCATCCGAAAATCCTACCATGGGTCGTCCTGCAAGAAGGAACTCAGTCTCAGAGGAGCTCAGTTAGCTCCACCCTCTCTCATTGTCCTGTCGTCTCAACATCCGACCGAATCTCCCCCCCCCCCCTCCAGAGTGTTGATCAACTTGTGCTATCTTAGTATAGGTATGTACGTAAGCACATAGCGAACATAAAGTCCACATTGACGTTTTGTATACTGCTGCACCTCAACCTACTGTGCATTGAGTTCTACGACTTATACAATGGCAACTTGATCAACAACCAATCACTACACCTCTTCAATCTCAAATTCAGCAAATGAAGGGTGAAACAGATTAGAAAAATGAAATTTGATTTTAGTCGGATGAAAAGAGTTTTTCACCGAGTGAAAGTTCAAATTCGAAATGAAAGTTCGACTTTCGTAGACCACTAAAAAATGAAAGTTCAAATTCGTAAACGAAATCTATGAATTCGGAAACACAAGTTGAAACTAGTCAAACACAAAACCAATGAAAGCTCATTTTCATGCACTTACACCACTTCTCGATATGCGTTGTTCACACTCCACGAGTTGACAACTCGCACAATGTGCGAAGACTGCTCGAGGTACTTCTCAAATGTGAACAGTTATTGCACTGAGTGAGATTCACGGGTAGTTCTCCGGAACGAAAAAAGTTGAAGTCGAACGATACGCACATCCACAACATATAAACGGCGTTTCAAACCACCGATCCGAGCTGAAGAAATTCCGGTATAACCGTGTCTTAAAAAAATAACAAAAAACTCTAGAAGACGTTCCTCCCATACTTAATTTTCAACATATAACTCAACAACTACTCCAACACATACTAGAAACGACGCTGCTTTCCTTCTTTCTCTAGTATTAATGCTTCCTCGACGATCAGTCCATCGCCAATCTCTCTTTACCACCGCTCATTAGATTCAACAAGAGTGAGTCAGAGTTGAGTACCTATTATCGAAAATTCAAATCCTCGGCAAAATCGTCAGTTACTTCACTACCATTTTATTTCGGCTCACTGCCATGTGATGAGCAATTTCCTTTGCGGCGTCAATTCGCCTCAATTCTACGAAACCGGGATTATTCTGGATCGCCGAACCAATCATCTTGGCAGACTCCATTTCACCTGACACAAACATTGTTGGAGTAGTAGGAATATATGCAATCGCTTTCCTCAGCAGCTGAGCTCAGGAGTTTCCTATACAGTGTTGCAGTAGGAATATATGCAATCGCTTTCCTCAGCAGCTGAGCTCAGGAGTTTCCTATACAGTGTTGGAGTAGGAATATATGTAATCGCTTTCCTCAGCTGCTGAGCTCAGGAGTTTCCTATACAGTGTTGGAATAGGAATATATGTAATCGCTTTCCTCAGCAGCTGAGCTCAGGAGTTTCCTATACAGTGTTGGAGTAGGAATATGTGTTAGCTTTCCTCAGCTGCTGAGCTCACGAGTTTCCTATACAGTGTTGGAGTAGGAATATATGTAATCGCTTTGCTCAGCTGCTGAGCTCAGGAGTTTACCATACAGTGTTGGAGTAGGAATATATGTAATCGCTTTCCTCAACTGCTGAGCTCAGGAGTTTCCAAAGCTAATTGTAGGAGTTTATATACGAAGTCGGGTGAAATTGTACAGAAACCAATGAGAATACCGGGAAATTTCCTCAGAATTTTCATAGGCACCAACACATGTAGTTGACCATGTGCATGTTTTCCCACAGCGAATAACACTCCAGACAATCGACGGAGAATTGTCATAAAAACTGACGCCATACCCTGAGCCTTGATGATAATATTCTTCTTCATTTCCTGGGCCTTCAACACTTGATATTTCGCTTTTTCAGCCTGCTGTTGAGCTACCTGCTTCTGCTCAACCGCGCCCGCATATCTACATACAAACTCACATAAAAATAAGCGATAATATTTAATTATATAATTGGAGTTTTTTCACCCTAGTGAGAAATATATTTTAAGACTACTGCACAGCGCAAATATTGGGTTTTTCACTTCACGTAAACCGTGTTGAACTCCAATATGTAGCCAATCATAAGCCTCTTACTCTGGAGAAAAAGCGAGATCAACAATAGCGACATCGTCCAGAATCAAGTTGAATTCTCGGGCGCGTTCGACCAACTCTTGTCGAATACGACGAGACACGACCTAAAATAGAAGGCATGCAAAAACCAATAGAAAAACTCGTTTGAATTTACCTCTCGCTGAGTGACCAACTCCGAAGCGTTGAACTGCGCAACGACCGATTTCAAAACCTCATTGATGATGGACGGTAGGACCTGTGGACGCAAAAGTATTTTCAAATCCAGTATTAATATAAAATATTAACATCTATATGTGTCGGCGACAAATTTGAAAATTGTGAGGAAATTTGGTAAAATTCTTATTGGTACATTTCGACATGAATAGGCTCCTATAATTAGGAAGGATGCTCCTGAGCTCAAATGAGGAGAGCGAACACATACTTCTCCAACACTAGTCAAATGAAAATGAATATTGAATTACCTTCTCATCATAGTCGGTACCAACATAGCGGTATATAGCCGGTAGTTTATCTTCTCTAGGACGACACAGTGTTCGTAGGGAAATGCTGACCATCTGGAGATCCTTGGAACCCGTGAGGGACACCTAGAGAGGATAATTTAATACCGTAAATCAGACGAATCACTTACCAGCGTTCTGGGCTTAGTTCTAATGTCGAAGTTGATCGGTCTTTCGAACCAAGGTACCATCACGTGAGTTCCTTCAGAGTAGAGGTCTTCTTGGATACCGCTGAGTCTGGAGAACTTGATGGCTCGATGACCGGCATCGACTAAACAGGGGAAGAAATATGTACCATATTTGGGCCTATTCTGTATCTTGCAAGGTTGAACCTAGGATACTCCATCCTACTATTACCGTTAAAAAGGCAATTCTTAAAAGCCCAGACCGAGCCGCCGATCCCCACGGTCCCGACCGTGATCGCCTTCGCCAATTGCGGGCCAAACTTCGAGAATGCTTCGGTGAACTTCTGCGACATTACCAGAAACTACAAGGAACCGAAGCTGAGACCTCGATGCTCGGGGGCTCGAGGTTCATCGCAAAAAGCGCGCGCCCAAGTGATCGATTTAAATGGAACGCAAAACGAAGATTGGGATGAATAGGATTGTGTCGTCGTTGAATTTATGATGACTGATGTGTTCAGTGGTGACTAGCAGAGACTGCCGAATCGGCGGGAAGCAGTCGGAGGTCCGCCTACGTTAAGCCTTCTGGGATCGACGTATCTTGAGGTCGACCATGAAAGATTCAGACTAGGTCCGGTTTTGACCTCCACTTCCCTTTCTCTATCAGCCGATCCCCGACTCTCGAAATGTCAGTCAGCTCAGTCTAAACCCCAGCGTCCCCGGGCCGGTGAGGGTTGCGATATGTGTTCCAGGAGTTCCATCCGCTTTGATGATGTGTATTGATCATCGTATGAATTTCCGTTATAGGATTGACCACTTCTTGTAACGCGAGTAAAGGGCTTTTGTGGACTTACAAGGAACCTATTTTTTGGCGAAATCACTCCATCGTCATGCGTTTCGTCTATAACGCGCTCGCCCGAACGCGACGATACAGGCAATGATAGTCATTACTTAGTATTGGATCTAGCACGTGTTCTCATCAACACGTGAGAAGTCCATGTGTCGAGAAGATCCGTGCCCCTCGGGATTACGATGAAGTTCCTTTACAGTGGGGATGTTTAAGGCGCCTTGAGTTCAGGAGTAGAGTATCGCGGCTTGAACTCAAGTAACACTGTAACTTGACTTTGAGCCGCAATTTGCTCAGGGCCAGTTAGCAATAGGTCTTCCTACTTCGGGCCGAATCATTATACGCTTCGTTCACTTCACTTCTCGGACGATGTAGAACACTATATTGCACTGTAATGCATAGTCGTTCACGGGCATGAGTCCGTGTTGAGCCGTAGCCATCTAACTCAAGTTCGTTTCGTCCTGATTTCCACTCTCCTCGTATCGCGTTCCTTAGTGCTGGAAGGTTCTACCAACATAATGGACAGGCTTGCCATGTTGCGACTTGGTCTTAATCTATCTCCACTTGAATGATAGATCACTTGAGCCTCAAAAGGTAAATGAAAAACCTGCTTTGTGGGAAGCAGAGATTGCTTACGAATCCGAACAGAGAAAAATGTAGACTATTGCAGTTCGTCCAATGTTTCCGAATCAACCCGTTTTGAACACATGATAGTGCACTCAGTGAGGAAAGATATCAACATGATGCTTCAGCTCTAGTAGCTGATAATTGATTTCATCATCATCGCAATCATGACCGTGTTCATGAGGAAGAAATTGAATATCGAGTAAAACTCGGATTTGTGGTGATCGGCTAATCGATAAGTTATAGCTCTTAGGGCGGTCGCAGCTATCATCAGTACCGCGCTCGCCCTTCCGACTGGATCAATATCTGACTCAGGTGCTCTGCAGTCGAATCTAGCGGAGGAAAAACTGCATCGCAGTTTTTCCATAGGTGAAACCTCGACGGAGAGTGCTTGCCCACTTCGGGATAGTGCGGATCTCCCAGCGCTGAGGCGATCGAGAACTTGCCCGTTTCATTCGAGCATGGCCAGAGCGTGCCAGCCGCTACAAAGAACGCGAGCTATACTCGGGTCTTTGTTCATATTTTTTTTTGATCTCCCTTATTTAACCAAGGTCTAGCGAGAGGTAGTTGTTCATCTCGGCCCTGGTTTGCGTTAGGAAACCGGCCACGAGAGATCATCCACCTTGCAGTTGCCGAAAGCTACAAATCACGGACCCAGTTTACGGGTTCCGTGTTGTGGTTTTCGACCACTGCCCCTCCCGAACTCGCAGATCAGAGGTTCCAATAACTTCAAACATCGGATAAGTAAAAGCAGCACCGCAGTTTGTCCGTAGGCGAAAGCCAGTCGAAGAGTTTCAGCTCATATCCCGATTGTGCAGGTTTACATGTCTCGGCCGTTCGAGTATTGGCCCGTTTCATGTACATACGTGCAGAGTATGCCAGCCCTAGCGAAGAACACGAGTCAGCTGGTGTCATTGACATGACAATACAATGACTCATTTCACGGGGCAGTGTTTTCTTCATTAACTGAGGTCTCGCGAGATGTACTTATTCACCTCAGTTCACTCAGTTGTTCGCGCCGAACGGCAGTCTCGCTTGAACCAACTTTGATACCCCTAGGTATTCACACGGTAACACTGCCACCGTAGCAGTTATTGGCCATTGCCACGGCGGGCTCTGGTAGTGGAAGTGGTCGTCGCCTCAAACCTCATGGTCGCTTCGCTGACCGAGCAGCGACCATACCCATTATGGACCATTGCTCACAAAAAAAGTAAGTTAATCAAGGCGAGCCTCGAAGTCCCACTTCTTCGAGGACGAAGAGGGGGCTCAAACAATCCTAACAAAAAAAGCAGCAGTCGAAAGGCAAAATCCTAAAGTGAGCGAGAGCGTGACTCGCAAGGCAAAGCTGCCAGCCAATTATGAGACAAGTGGACATCGTCCACAAGTTTCCCAACTCAGAGGTGTCTATTGGACGAGCTCTGGGTTTCAAAAGAATTGTTCGATGAACTCCATACGATGACCTGAGGAGCCACAGCAACGCACTCAACCCTAGTTCAGGGTTAATTATGCGCGCAGGGGAAGAGATCTCCTAGGGCCCCTAGAAGATCTCTTCCCCTGGGCGCATGATGAGGGGACCATTATAGTCGCCGATTGTGCACAGGAACAATGGCGAGTCTACACAAGGGATACGCGTTCATCACAACCATTTCATGCAACACCTCAGCAATATAACGAAAACAAGACTTCACCAAGGAATACTACTCAATACTTTCTGTATAGCAGAAAGAGACGCTTTCTGTGTAGCGGCAGTGTTAGGTGGTAGTACCATGAAATCAGAGTAGTATAACTCTTATGTTAGAGAATGGACGACACCAGACTCTGGTGTCAAAATTCACTTCGGTTGCACTTTGCAACCGAAGTGCATCTCGATCCCTGATCTTCTCAAAGGTATCAACGGCCTCTGCACTGAAGTTTGGTATACCCTCTTGAACCCTTGGAGCGGATCTTATCTGGTCAATAGCCGAAGGTACTTGACATCGCTGCCGCGATTAAACTTCGTCAGTTACACCACAGTAGGTTCCATATACTTCCAGCAGCGGACCTTCCAAAAAGGAAGGATGGGGTACTCGTCAGGCGGATACACGTCGGACTTGTCGAGGAAGTCAATGCGTCCGAGCTGGCATGGACCACCAGTGGTGATTCACCGCAGAAGATCACCGGAAGACCCCCGAAAAAGTCTGTCCCTCTGTGGCACCCACGTTGGATCCACTTGACCGTCTCTGATATTGCATCGAGAACCGTTTTGTGCAGCGCACATACCTCGCCAACGAGCTATGTGAAATGGCGGAAATACCGCCATAAAGATAAAAGCCATAGAAAAGCGATAATTCTAGCATATGATAACGATCAAGATTATAAGAGAGTAGCACAAGAACACAACGTCAAACCGGATACAGCCTACCGCATTGCCAAAAAGAGAAGTTTTATTCCAAAACGAAGAGGAGGACGCTGTGCATATAAGATTACAGAACAACGAAGAGAAGCAGTGATCAAAACTGTCGAAAACAACCCAACCTCCACTCTGGCTCAAATGGAAGCTACCCTCGACCAACGCCAAGACTTGGAGAAAATTTTCATGAGCTCTATCGACCGGATTTTAGACAACGCCCTAATCACACTCAAGAGACTTCACCTTCATACTGAGGTAAGAAAATTCACTATCAAATTCACCACTCTTACTATCGCGATCTCAATATCAGAGCAGAAACTCACAGGCTAACAAAACCTAACGTCGAATATGCGCCGAATATATGCTCAGCCAAGAAAAGAGCTACCGGTACATATATGTTGATGAAACAGGCTACAATCTCTTCACGACGAGGGGAATGGGCCGTTCTCGCCTGGGTACTACGAAAGAATCCAACACTCTCCACATTTCTCGCTCTAGGTAGAAAGGCCGTCACTGTGGTTCAAAACCAAAGAGGCCGGCACGTGAGCTCCATTGTGGCTCCATCGCCTCTCAACTCCATGGCCAGTAAATTCTCACGACTCCGAGAGTTGAACTCCCTCCTGGTAAACCCTTCCTGACTTGGTTCGACAACGCACCCTGCCACAACCGAGGAGTCCACACATGCGTACAATTGGGTTTGCAAGGCCAAAAACTATCCCCAAACAGCCCAGAGCTCAACGTGGTCAAGTTCATGCTTAACGCCTTTAAAGCAGCACTCAAAGCCCATATACAACAAGTCCAAGTGATTCCACAAGAAGGCGAATCCCTATATCAAGCTCATAGCCGGATTTTATTGGCTGCAGCCCCGCAGTGTATG